ATATTAATTCTCATTATATAACATATGCTAGGATGATAGGAGTAACTGAGACTTGAATTGATTCATAAATTTTGCTCAATCCATACCAGAGTAAACTCCTGCGCTTTGAAATATGTTCATACATTTTTTATTAGCCCAGGCAAGATAAAATTAATATCAATCATTTTCAAAGTTCTATCACCACTCAATCATGTAGTATGTACGTATAAAGTAAAGCCCTGCCATTTTAGAATCGGTACGCTTCTTTTTGTCCTGTACTGTAACAGCGCTCTTAGTTGCCGGTTCTGGAATCTTTTAACAGGAATTTGTTAACAATGTATTTCTCTTGAAGTCCTGCGCAAAACATAAAAAAAACAGTTTTGTTTTCTTGAACGCGATGGAAGAAAAAAGAAGAGAATTAATTCTGCACACAAGATATGAAAACCCAACATGATACGAGGATCGTAAAGGAGTTTAAAATGGCCAAAACCACCGTCTTTACAGTGCTGAAACATTTAAAGAAACGTTTTTATGTTTCCCGGAAGGTACAATCCAAGTCTCGAAGCGGTAGGCTTTCAAAGAGAAACCAGAACTGACGTGGGTGTGGCCAACAAACTGGGATTCTAGTATCGGGCTATTAATCAACCGAACAAGACCGTAAAGCAAAACATTACGGTCAAAACGCTATCAAATTGGACCAAAAACAACTTCCAAGACAGAAGTTTTATGTTGCCATAGGTCGCGGAGATATTCCCAAGAAATATAAATTTGTTTTTGCGGACAAGTTTGCCGGTTAAATGATGATTAGGCAGGAAAGCTGCAGCTGCCCGAGCAGGATCGAATATCTCGATACCTTAAATTGGTATGAGGTAAGATACGGAAAAATAATACCAAAAAGATGTTCCCAAAATACCATTCCAATACCAAATTTTGATAATACAATACCAAAACAATACCACCCAGGTATTTTTTTGGTATCCAAATATCAATTTTTGGTATTCACAAAGTATTTTGCATGTAATTTTTTGGTATTATTCTTTGGTATTTTACCTCTTATGTCATGCTGGTCAATACCAAATTTTGGTAGCAGATCAGAATTAGGTATTCATTAGTTATTGTCTCCTGCTCGGGTGTGGCCAGAAGACTCCGATTTTCATCACAACCAACAATATGAACGGACAGTTACAGTTACATCAACGAATGCCTGAAAAAATGTGTATTGCCGTTCATTAGACCCCACCGGGGCCTGCCAAGTTTTGGACAGTGGTATCGCGATAATGGCGTAGACGTTATTGAGAAAGAGATGAACACCCCAAACTGCCCGGATTTCCACCCAATCAAAATGTATAGACGAGGGCACGGATGGATTTGAGCTCACTCACTGGACAAAAAGTGACACAACAGCGGGGCCCTGTTTACTAAAAATGTACACATGAATAATACTCACGTAACATTTGAAACGGGTCTATCAACTTTTATACACAAAGCTTGTTAAGCCTTTTTCGCGCGAACCGAATACTCCCACGCAAACTACCAACACTGTCGGGTAGGGGAAATTCTCCCCTTCCCGATAGTGCTCTTGATTTGCGTGAGCGTACTTCGGTCCTCGTGAAAGGACCTAGCAAATTATTTACAAAAGTTGATAGGCCCTTTTCAAATGTTACACGAGCATTATTCATGTGTTCATTTTTAGTGAACAGGGCCCCGCTGTTGTGTCAATTTTTTTCAGTAGAAGTAGAAGTTCACCCGTGCACTTGTCTATTGACCAATGCACGGAATGAACTGCATGAACAAATTTGACGTTTGAGCGGTGCCGTGTTTCCTTAAAATGAACACGTGAATAATACTCGCGTAACATTTAAAAATGGCCTATCAACTTATGTACACAAAACTTGTTAGACATTTTTCGCGCGAACCGAAGTACGCCCATGCAAACCAACAACACCATCGGGTAGGGTGAATTCTCCCCTTTCCGATAGTGGTTTGGTTTTCGTGGGTGTTCTTCGGCTCGTGAAAAAAGGGCCTAACAAGTTGTTTATAAAAGTTGATTGGACAATTTCTAAAGTTGCGTGAGCATTAATTACATCATGTGTTCATTTTTAGTAAACACGGCACCGCTCGAAAGTCAATTTTTGTTTCGTGAGTTCATTCGGTGCATTGGTCAATAGGGGTATCATCATAGCTAAACTGAAGAAGAGTGGAAAAATGGCTAAGGATACTATTTCAATGGCCAGATACTGGAATAACCAGCCGGTAAGGTTGATGAGCAGCTTGTGCAGAAGTTGATGGCACATATCAAGCCCAAAGTTCGAATTTTCATTCGAGAGCAATAAAAATCGCCAAACCCATATTGTATCTTAAGACTACAATAAATACATGATATTTTCTTCTGATAACGTTTTATTCTTAACCAAACAGATTCTGAGATACATCCGATTGAAAACTTACCGATTCTAAATTGGCATGACTATATCTATACAGAGCTGGAAAAAGGGCCTATCTGCTTTGATCGATTCTCTTCATCAACTTTCTCTTTTGATAACCACGGCTATGCAAACAGTTTTCGTGCTATTTTTGCCCCATAGCATGATAAAGGAGGTTTTCATCAATCGTCCAAATCGTCAAATACAACAGAGAATGTTGTGACAGCTGAGTTATTAACGAAAGAAAAAGTCGATGAAGAGGATCGATCAAAGCAGATAGGCCCTTTTTCCAGCTCTGTATAGATATGTAGTATGCTGCTACACGCAACACTTTTTTTTTCATTTATATCCATTGCATGGTTGCCTATAATCCCATATCAGTTCCATGTGGTAAAAGCAGGCATTGAAAAAATGACTGTTGATGTTACGAAGTGCGATTCCCACGATCGCCAAATATTAAAAAAATCATAGTAAATCAATTCAAGACCAACAATTGAAAAGGCCTCAACTTAATCTTGTAAAAAAAAAAAACTTTGTAAGGCCATTTTCTCGCGATCCGAAACCTACATTGGTAAACCTAAAACACAATCGGGAAGAAGAGAATTTCCCCTACCTGCTTATTTTGTTGGTTTGCGTTGGCAAGCTTCGGTTCGCGACAAAATTGCCTTACAAGGTTTGTTTACAAAATGGAGTTGAGGCCTTTTCAATTGTTGGTCTTAAATTGATATCTATTTCAAGTTGAAATCAGGCATATGAAGATTGAATGTTTTGTTATGTCAGCGAAAAATATGGTGATATAAAAGCAGAATTGTCACAACCATAACCGAAGTGACAGACGACTAACTGGCGAAGAAATCAATTAAAATAATGTGGTTCGCTGTAATAGAATTTTCAATGTTGATTTTGTGCAATGGTCTTTGACAGTAGTATCATTTTTTCATTTTTTTTTATGCATTTCAGTTTTCAGTAGAGTGAAAGAGATAGAACCAAAACATTTCAATACATTTGATGAAAATGCTAGTACAATCTAGAGTCAGTGTATAATGAGTCACGCCAAGAGTGAAGCCAAGTCTACCTATCGAACTGTCAAACCAGCTACCTATCGTGCAAAGTAAACAAACATTACGATGCTATGAAAGGTCCACAAAAGGTATTGCAATCAAATATAAAGTATAATCGAAGAAATGATAATTAACACGCAGTGAGCATTCAATTGTCATGGGACACGTCTGGTAATGATCAGTAATGAGAATTTCAACTATTTTTTGTTAAGATAATTTGACAAAATCACTGATATAATGATTTACTACAGCCGCTATTATTTTTTTCTCGCTAGAAGTCATTTGAAGTTGATGTAGAAGTCCTCTGTTGCCAAGTTAAAAGAAAGGGAATCTTTCGAAAAGCGTGATGCGAGTTCAACTGTTTTTCTCTTGGCGTGACTCATTATACACCGACTCTAGTACAATCCAGTAGTAGCGTAGTAGCAACAATCAATACGAAACTATCGATTTTAAATTGGTTCACTACTTGACTAGCCTATTGGTCCCAAGCAAATCGATTAACGTACCCTATTCCAGTCAAAATTCTAGTACTACACTATGTTTTCTCCCTTTTTATGGCACAGACCTGTTACACTATGTTTGTTTTGCTGCACTATGAAAGTTTGACAGATAAAATGAGGGGTTAGTGGATTTTCCTATGTTTCGAGGGGTAAATCGAATAGCTTGGGACCGAAGAGAGTACCAGAGCTGAGCCAAAAAGTTGAGCACGTTTCTTCGGGACCTTCTGGTCTTAGAGTTACCTCTATGGTATTAGCAACAATCAATACGAAACTAACGATTTTAAATTGGCTCACTACTTGACTAGCCTATTGGTCCCAAGCAAACGATTAACGCACCCCATTCTAGTCGAAATTCTAGTACTACGCAATGTTTGAATTTCAGGATGGGACTGATGGACTAGCTTATGAGACAAACTGACTTGATTACGTTTTCACATGATTCATGATCAAAGCCCGTAGTTTTATCACGTAATATGAAAGTAGGTACCAATTGATAGTGGATAACGTTGTTATCTTAAACTTAGTGAAAATCCATATGGGTCCGATATGCGAGTATAGGCAGTGCATATGTTTCATACAACAAATGTAGTGATAGGTCTTGCAATGAACTGCAGCGTACAAACAAGTTTTTCCAGAATGTACATAAAACCTTCACGAGATGATATTCTTGACACCAACATAAATTTTGAGGAAACAAAAAATTGTTCTAAAAATAAGCTAACCAAAAATTTCAAATTTACGTTAAAAACCTTCCGGTGGCCACATTACATAATCTGTTTATGTCACAAAGCATTGCAAATTCTGCACACTTTTAATGCACATCTGTAAAAGAATCTTACATTTTCCGGTTGGGTGTAGATAAATTTAAGTTCCTGCACTGAATAAGTTTGAAACAAATACCAGTTCAGTTTCCGATGTTTGTATCAGTTTTCGTATTTTTCACTTATTCGCAGCATTTTTTGTATATTTTACAAACCTGGTATATTTTTGTTTTACTGGAATTTTCCACACAAGATGAGAAAAATCATTCCACTTACTTATTCACAGGGGAATTTTGAGTTTTCTTTCACACCTTCCTTGATTCTATGCTTCACTCTGCGCTTAGACCACTTTATTCTTGGCCTTCACCTTTAACTCTGTTCTGTTGCGTCTATCTTGCTCTTCAATAATCACTTCCACTTTCCACTCTTCTTCGTTACACCCCGTTTCTTCCTTCCTCGTCCTTTTTTACTTCCTGTATTTTCCTTCAATGAGATACGTTCTCCTCAACTGCTGGAACTGGACTGCAGCATCCCGTTCGGCATCTTAAATTCTTAACGTGCGCTCGCTTAACGTCCGACCAGCCGACGACGGCCAAAAACAAAAACAACAACAGCATCATATCGCTGGTGGTTCTTCACTTCGAGGTACTGATTACGGCGAGCTACGATGATGAGTCCACATCAGCCACCGCAGCAGCTATAGTCCATCAACGGCAATCACAACAAACTACCTCGTCCCTCGCTAACCCCAGTGCTTTGCTCGATCCCTATAGGTACCGATGACCAACGATCATGACGCGTTGATAGTGGCGGAGGATAGGAGTGGAGTTGCTACGTCTACATCACCTATCAGCCGGCCGGTCGTTGTGAAAACGTGAACTGGTTAATCCTGGATTTGACGCTATCACGGTCTTTCTTCTAAAAAAGGGTACATTTTACAAAAAAAGGCTTATCTCACTGCAGACAGAAGCTAGCATAAATCTGTACCCTGAAAAGAATTATAACATTATGCAAGAGCACGTGAAAGGAGAAAACAAGTAAAAAGACAACTTCAGTACTATTCCCATGATTGAGAGAAACATACACAGGTATATACGATGCACAAATGCATCAAAAGAAGGAAACAACAAAACAATGCCAGCTCAAAGTGAGGTAACTGATTGACATGTGTACCTATATATGTACCTAATTGTAACAGGCAAAGAATACTTAAGCATAAAGGAATGAGCGAGCATGATGATTCTTATTTTCTACATAGGTACGTAGAAACATTGAAAGGAAGGACAAACCTTGATTATCAAGTAAAACTGCTACTACATTAAGTTTCGATTTGAGGACTTTGAAATATTTTTTTGGCTGTATTCAACATCATAAAAGAGTTTGTTGGTTCGCTCTCAACACGTCATTAAAATTTCCTATTTACCAGGCGGATTGTTGCCGTATTATCATAGATCAAATAGTTAAACAGTCACCCACCAAGCTAATCTTCTATGAAAGTTGCCACATGAACTGACCGGTTGTCAAGCTGGTGGTTAGATTGTGAAGCGAAAAACACTTCTCCGAACGAACTGGTCATCCACAGGTGCCCCACTGGGGAAACATAAAACTTAAGTCTGCAGAATTACAGGATGACGAATAAACGAAACCATCCTGTCTTGTTTTAGTTTGAATTAACGCGAGCCTTCACTCCGGTTCAGACTTGCGATTCTCGGTAATGTGTTTCACATGGGGGAAATCAGGCCACATGGTCTGGAACGTCATTCTTGTTTCATTGTAAGCTATTTACGTTGTTGAGCTTTCAATTGCGTATTATAGTTTAATGGTTTTGAAAAATCCTGTCGAGGAGTATCGTGAATGGTTTTGAACTGTCAAACTGCAGTCTTTCATATTGGGGAAAGTGAGGATACTTGTTCTGGGAGGAGACATGGTTCGCCCAGATGAAACTATCTGAATTTTATTTGACAGATTCAGTTCATTCAGAAGCATTTCACGTGAGATCCAATAACGAATGTTTTCGGATTTTACTCCTGTAAGAATCGCAAGTCTTCGGAATCTTGGATGTATCTCGATTTATAGATCTCGTTCCGGAAAATCTTCGTAAAATCAATAGAGCTTAAATTAATAAAAAAAAAGATCCAAATTACGCTTTGCCTCACACAAGCGCGTATGAAGAGTTGGTATGGTCAGTGAAGATCTTTGTAGCACGCATAACATACAGTGGGTCCAAAAAGTATTCGTCTAGCTGCATGCTTTTTACAAAATGGCTTTTAAAATCATGTTAGGGGCAAAACAAATAAAACTAGTGATCAAATCTGATAGAAAATTATTTCAAAAATCTGTTTTATTTAAAATCAACAGAAACACATCGCTTTTCGATAACACAAGAAATATATAATTATATTTAACTGGCAGTCTAGCGCATAAAGTATTCGTCTACATACGTTTTTATTCAATGCAGTCTTGAGAACAAAAGCAAAAAGTGAATATTAATACTTGGTTGGGTTTCCCTTTGAATATATAACTGCTTGCAACCTTCGCGGCATGGATCTGACCAAATTGGTTGTGACGGAGGATGGAATTTTATCCCATTCTTCTTTCAAAGCTTGTTTCAATTCATTTTTATTTGAAATATGCCTTTTCCTGATTTCATCATCCAGTATTTTCCAAAGATTTTCAATTGGGTGGGCTCTGTGGGGGCGTTTTAAGTTTTTTTGGAGTATTATATAGCAGCCACAGCTTAGTATTATGAGCTGTGTGCTTTGGATCATTGTCCTGTTGAAAGATGTAGGTTCCTTGTAAGCCAAATTGTTCAGCACTGGCATTCAAATGTTCTTTCAAAATGCTGATATACATCTTATGATCCATCATACCTTCAATAAAATGTAATTTTCCCACACCTGCAGCACTCATACACCCCCCACACCATAACAGAACCTCCAACATGTTTCACAGTTGAAACAAGGTTCTGCGGCTGCATCTCAGCATTTTTTTCCGCCATACCGTGAGTCGGCCATCTGAACCAAATATGTTATTTTTGCTTTCATCCGAAAATATGACACGATTCCAAAAAACTTCATCCTTCAAACGTGAGGTATCTGCCTTGAGCGTGCGGGCGAAAAGCGTTATAAGCGTTAAGCGAGGGAGAGCGAAAAATGACTCAGTTGATCTGTGAGCCTTTTGACAGTTGTAAAGCGAAAGGAATAAAGTTTGGTTACGGCACTTGCTTGTGATACCTCCAACTGTGAACACGGACTTTTATTTCGTTTAAGTTTATTCCCACCACGATCACTACTTTTAATTAGTTTCCCGGACATAAAAAAACGGTGTTCCTTGGCAAAATCAAGTCGTTTCTTACGGTTTGCTTCATTCACCCAAAATTTCTTGCGAGCTACTCGGCCATGGTACCCATATTTTTTGCAGGTATTTCTAACTGTACTGGTACATACCTTGATTCTTCTTCGTTCTAACTCACTAGCAAGCTTGGGTGCACTGGTTTTAGGATTTTTCTTGATTTCCCTTACAATAAATCGCTCGTCCTTGTCGGTCAACGCCCGAGGACGACCGCTCCGTGGTTTATTTTGGAAGGTTTTTGTTGTGCAGAAGCGATCAATAATCGATTGAACGGTCGAACAGGGTCTACTTATAAGCCTGGATATCACGTACGCTGACTTGCACTCGTTATGAAGACGCAGAATAAGTCTCCGTTCGCTCTGGGTCGTCTCCTTTCCTTTCCGACCCATGTTGCTAGCTTTTCTACTACAGTGACTATACCTTCCTCAGATAGCTTTCAAAATAACAATACACAGTATCCTGTCATACGCCGAAGTACTACAAAACGCGTTAAAAGAGGTATTGACAGTTTTACATTTCAATGCAACGAATACTTTTAATGTGGACGAGTTCTTTTTGAGCATACAAAACAGTAAGAATTATTTAGTAATCGTATTCTTGTCACCAAGAATAGACTTCCGTTATTAATTTTTAATAATTAAGATTTATTGGTTCATTTTCTACTATATGTCAACACTAATGTTTTTCCTTGTCCCCTAAACGCTGAAAACGAACCCATTTCTAAGAAATATGTAGGCAAGACGAATACTTTTTGCACCCACTGTATGTGGAACTCGATCATCAAAAATCGACCCCATTTCAGAGATATACTGGCAGTGGTATACTGCCCATAAAAGCATAACTGTCCCATATGAATAGGAAATCAAGCAAAGATGGGACAATTATGCAAGTATCGGCAGCAGGCTTGCAATTGCTCATTACAGCTAAAATACTTTTTTTTCGGTATTATGAAACAATGGGATACTATAATGATATTTTTTATTTGTAAGATGCAAGAAGAGGAGATAAAGTTTGTATACGACATATAAAATTTGTCAATTTTGCTTTCAGAAGGTCACAACTAGCGATTAGCAACGCGATGAGCGAGCAATCAGCGATCATAAAATCGCTAGTTGTGACCTTCTGAAAGCAAAATTGACAAATTTTATATGTCATATACAAACTTTATCTCCTCTTCTTGCATCTTACAAATAAAAAATATCATTATAGTATCCCATTGTTTCATAATACCGAAAAATAGCATTTTAGCTGTAATGATCAGTTGCAAGCCTGATCGGCAGTATAGAAGGACATCAATCTGTCAAATTGGTTATACCAGCATAAAATGAGAAAGGGGATCAAGGGGCTTATCAATTCTTTTAAATAATTCTACCTTGGCTTATAATTCTATGTGTTGCTAGCACTCCAGAACTGGTGTCTTACTATTTCCTTAACCATTTATGTGCTTTATTTATAATTATATAGCTAACTTTAACAAATTCATCGCCTTGATTCACACAGCAAAACTGTGTTAAACTTAGGAAAATCATGTATGTAACATCACCTTCTTTGAACCTTTCTAATTTTTTAGAACCAATTGTATCAAACTTTGAATCCTGATGATTGTGGGCGTCTTAGTGGAATACCTGTATAAAGAGAGAGAGAGAGAGAGAGAGAGAGAGAGAGAGAGAGAGAGAGAGAGAGAGAGAGAGAGAGAGAGAGAGAGAGAGAGAGAGAGAGATTTGTAATTTCCATTTAATTCCACTACCTTGTTTGCTTATCTAGTCTAGTATTAGTACAAGACACTGTAGAGTATTAGTACAAGACACTGAAGAAGTCTGCATATTGTAGATGAAATACGCGTATCTGTCAAGGATAAGCAAATAAGGTAGTGGAATTAAATTGAAATCTATAATCTTTCTCTCTCTCTCTCTCTTTATCAAACTTTGATTTCATTAGGTTTCGTGGGACTAAAAACACGACCGCGTAAATTTGGAATTAAGTGCATACATTTTGAAATACAGAGAGAAGCAGCAAAATTTGGAACAAGAGTCAGAAGTATCATTTAAAAAATATGCAATGTTTTGAGCTGACTTTGCATCGTTCTATTCGCATGAATTTTGTAAGCAGGACGATAACTGAAAT